ATGCAATATAAATTTCAATCATGTGTAAAAGAGTTAAACCAAAAACAATTTTCAAACATAATTAAAAAAAAAAATTAAATGCATATCCAAAGATTTCAAAATTTTCAAAATCTTAATAAACGGATAACGGATAACGGATATCCGAGTTTAAAATTTTTTATTATCCGGATCCGTATCCGAAATAACCGAATACTTAATTTCACTATCCGGATCCGGATCCGAACTACACGAATATCCAGTTTTTACGGATCAGATAGGATCGGATACCGGATCGGATAGCGGATATCGGATAATAATTCCAGCCCTAGGTAAGAATATATGATCACCGGTAATGGTGAAAAACTCTTAAAGGTATCCCATCTAATATAATATCATTATTTTTATATAATTTAATTAATTAGTTAAATTTTAAATTATAAAACACAAATTTCACTAATAAAATAATAACACATTTTATAAAAGTCTCTCAAATTTTTTTTAGGGAGTTTCAAATTAGAGACTATAAACATCATGTTCTCATGCTCTTTCATCTTTTTTTATTTTTTAATTTTTTTAATTATGAAAACACCTTTAAAAAACTACCATTGAAGATGATCTAAGAATATAGTTTATTTACTCATTCTCGATAATATCAAATATATAAGGAATATACTGAATATTATGTAGAGCACTCTTCATTACTCTATATAAGGCACATATTAAAAACATAACAGTCTAGAAATTCATAATCTTACATATCGTTATTTTATTATTAGATTTCCAAATCAAATGAAACATGCAACTTTTGTTTTAACTTCATCAGATCAAAGCCACTTTGTCCTGTTTCATGGTTACTATAGGTAGACGAAGGCGTTGACCAAAAAAGTAAAAAAGAAAGTAGACCAAGGCTAAAAAAACATTCATCGCTCTAAACCAAGTTTCAGAATCAAGATCAAACTATTCCTATTTTTCCGTCGATGCCGTGAATTCCAGAACAAGAAAAGGAAATCTGCTCCATCAAAGGTTTAAAATGAGGCGAGTTCACAAGATGGTGAAAGTTTGCATAAACCGGTTGGTTATCGAATCCATTTACCGGAAACTAGCATATTCAAACATTAGGAACCGCTTACGCACCTGCTAACGCTTTCCATAAGCACGTATTTATTTTCAGAGCTTTCTCAGCTTCCAAACACTCTATTGTAGAAGATTTAGGGAAGGTTGTCACGTATTTCTCTCTGAAAAGTTGCATCAGCAGCATGAGATAATGCAATTTCACTATTTCCCGGAACAAAAAAGTAACCTTCAATTAACATAAATTAAAAACATTCCTATTCCGAAGTTTTGCATAATAGATATCAACTTATAACACTGTCATCCTTCACGCAGGCCATCTTATTGCAGATATACTAATCAAAATGGACATGTATCGAGATAGCATTGTGAATATCTTACACTAGAAGACTCGAAAACAGCTTCAAAAGTTAGCATTCATTCATCATATACATTACAAAACCTTTCTTTTCCTTTTTTTGTCAACATTACATAACCTTTCTAATGAATGATTTGGTTTATCATGTGTTCAGCTTCTCTGCAAAATTGATCAGTCATTGGCAAGTTTTCAATATGATGAAAAGAAGCAACGCTTTGGATTTTAATCAGGACCGAGTGTTTAACAATAAAAAGCAAAACTCAAAAACCTCTGTTTCCGCCAGAAGTATTGGCGTCGTCTTCCTCATCCAAAAGTCAGCGATAATCATCACTGATGCGAAGTCTCTATGGTCCGACGTCCGTCGCTTGTTCGGTGAAGAAAATGACATTTTCACTGCCAGAAACCAAACGATCATGCAAAATTCTCTCGTATCCTCGTATCTCATTTCTTATATTCGAACTTCATGTTGTCAATTTCAGTAATATTCATTATCCCGACAAAGATTTTATCCTGGAAAAGAGAGAATCAAAATCGATAAGGGGGAAACCATGTAAATAATAGTTCTGTAGCGTAAAATTAAATCCAACTGATAATGATGACAGAGAGAAATTGACCCAAGAATTGGAAGACATTTTACCACTGATGCAAGAAAATATCCGCAGGAATGTCACGATATTCATTAAACAAAATCTCCAAAATAGTTCATGACGGGAAAACAAACGAAACGAAAAAAAGAAGAAGCTAGAGTGCGACGTAGCAACGCCACCTCCGGTCAAGAACCCAATTACGAGAAGAGCGCTTTGACGGAGAAGAAACGAAGCTGTAACACAAACAAGCGACCAAATACCAAACTAAAGCAAAAAAGCTAACATTGTCTTTTGTTTCAAAGGCGGATGATAGAGTTTTGCAGATGGTAGTTCACTTGGCACCCTTCTTGACGGCAGCCTTGGTCACCTTGGCACCGGTTGGGTCCTTCTTGTCAACGCTCTTGATGACACCGACTGCAACAGTCTGCCTCATGTCTCTCACAGCAAAACGTCCAAGAGGTGGGTACTCAGAGAAGGTCTCCACCACCATGGGCTTGGTCGGAGTCATCTTCACCATACCGGCGTCACCATTCTTCAAGAACTTGGGCTCCTTCTCGAGCTCCTTACCAGAACGCCTGTCAATCTTGGTCAAGATCTCAGAGAACTTGACAGCAATGTGAGAGGTGTGACAGTCGAGCACCGGGGCGTAACCGTTACCAATCTGACCAGGGTGGTTCATGATGATGACCTGGGAGGTGAAGTTGGCTGCTCCCTTGGCAGGGTCGTCCTTTGAGTTGGAGGCAACGTAACCACGCTTCAAATCCTTCACAGCAACATTCTTCACATTGAACCCAACGTTGTCACCTGGCAGAGCCTCCAAAAGGGACTCGTGGTGCATCTCAACAGACTTGACCTCAGTGGTCAGACCAGAGGGAGCAAAGGTCACAACCATACCGGGCTTGAGCATACCGGTCTCAACACGACCAACAGGCACCGTTCCAATACCACCAATCTTGTACACATCCTGGAGTGGGAGACGGAGGGGCTTGTCTGAAGGCCTCTTGGGCTCGTTGATCTGGTCAAGAGCCTCAAGAAGGGTTGGTCCCTTGTACCAGTCAAGGTTGGTGGACCTCTCAATCATGTTGTCTCCCTCGAACCCAGAGATGGGGACGAATGGGATTTTGTCAGGGTTGTACCCAACCTTCTTCAGGTAGGAGGACACCTCCTTGACAATTTCCTCGTACCTGCCCTTGGAGTATTTGGGGGTAGTGGCATCCATCTGTAATAAGGAAAATATACAAAACATTTGTTAGCATCAAACCAAAAAAAGAGTAATATGATAATCACAATAAGCAAACCAAAATGAAGAGTTATTAGTTCACCTTGTTACAGCAGCAAATCATCTGCTTGACACCGAGTGTGAAAGCAAGAAGAGCGTGCTCACGGGTCTGACCATCCTTGGAGATACCAGCCTCGAAACCACCAGTGGTGGAGTCAATGATCAAGACGGCACAATCAGCCTGGGAGGTACCAGTAATCATGTTCTTGATGAAATCACGATGTCCAGGTGCGTCAATGACTGTGCAGTAGTACTTGGTGGTCTCGAATTTCCAGAGAGCAATGTCAATGGTGATACCACGCTCACGCTCGGCCTTAAGTTTGTCCAGCACCCACGCGTACTTGAATGACCTCTTGTTCATCTCAGCAGCTTCCTTCTCGAACCTCTCAATCACACGCTTGTCAATACCACCGAGCTTGTAGATCAAGTGACCAGTGGTGGTTGACTTTCCGGAGTCGACATGGCCAATGACCACGATGTTGATGTGAAACTTCTCTTTACCCATGGCTGCTTGTCAAGTAAATCTGAACACAAATCATATAAAAACGATCAGAACAGTAGACACATATCAATATGAACTTCATCAAAACAAAAGACATACAATGATAAAATTCTTATTTCTAAGAGCGTTGATAGTAAAAAGCAGCTATCGGAGTCGAACCGATTTCTACCACAAAAAGTTTGTGGTGCTCTATCCACTGAGCTAAGCATGCTATAATTCATGAAAACCAGGAATTTCAAGAGGTCAATAGCAATCAATCCGAGAGTTTCCTTGACTTTAACACAAGACGAAGGTAAAACTGGATTATATATGCCCTCGAATTTCCCATTCAAATGACAAATCGATCACTGAAATCAAATACATCCTAAAACGAAAATTAAGTAGCTTCATTCCCATCGATCCAACCACTAATCAATCACATAATACAATAATCTCAAAATAAGATCGATCCGGTGTTAGATGAAATAATTGAAAATCAGCTAGATTGAAATTTAAAACGTTGATTTCCGAAAAAAAAAAAATCTAGACCATAGATCATATAAGCAAAACAATTTATCAACGCACATGGAAAGAAGAATCAATTCTGAAACAGTTGAATGACAAGTAAACGAGAACAGATCGAAAGTATTTCAGCAGAGATCGATAGAAAAGTAAAAGAACGCAGATCGTTGATGCGTAAGAAACGCTTACTTCAGAGATATCGCAAAAAGAATAAAGTGTAGCGGCTATGGTGAAGAAAGAGCAAGGTAGGGAATAACCTTGGTGGGGAGACCTATTTATATATATAGTGGTGATAAAAAAAAAAGTTAGGGTTTAACATAATATCATGTAGGAAAATGACAATCGAGCCCCTGTCTCTATTGGGGTCGGTCATACATAGCTTCGGAGTCAAGTTAATTTGGATTCAAAAATAGAATTCTGTTCACATTAATAGCAAACTAACGCATCATTAAAATCACAAGTCAAATTAGTTGTGTATAGCCTTAAAGTTATATGTATTTTTGACATAGTATTAGAACCGGATTGACTCAAAACGTTATCAAATTCAAAAGTATTGTTCAAAATGAAAAAAAAAAAGGAATTTCACATTACAATTAAGCAATGCAAGTCATAAAATCATTGATAACTGATGAAAAACCATCAAGTGCTTGTTCATCAGGCCGAAATATATGAAAGAACCATAGATTATTACACATATTACAAGCTGTGTCGAAATAAATATAATGAAAATTAATTATTTTAAGGAAAAGATGGAAATCCTCTGTATACACATACAATCATCATCGATCAAAGCATGATGGAGCAAATGTGATGAATAAAGACAGGACTACAAAGAAATGATGTTGACAAAAAAGAAGAAGGCAGAAGTATAATCATAACTAATCGTGCCAGCCTCAAAAGGAAACTTTCGTCACCTTAATTAAGCGAGACAATGATTCAATTGAGAGAAACCAGGGAATGATTCAACTGAGAGGCTCGTCATACTCTCCCAACGTTCTTGGAACACGTACTTATTAGACGCAATCTTTTTTTTTTTGACATTTATTAGACGCAATCTAAGGAAGATTCTTTTCGATTTCTTTTGTGCCCAATATCTATGATTCTCTGAACTAAGAACTTCAAAATTGACAAGAAGAAGTGAGGCCACATTCCAAGATTCCCTGTGACACTTCTAGAAGATTCTAGAAAACAAATCAGAAAGGTCCTACAGTTTGGGTCCTATGATTATGTCATCACCAACGAATTGCAAATGTATATAAAAAAGTTGATATTCAAGCGTGAGTTTGCTGCAATTCGTTGAATATGAGACATGATGTGTCCCAGAGTTCCTTAGCAAGTTTCGGATCACGGGAAATCGCTGAAGATTCAATGGTCCTCCCGTTTCCTCCAAAGAAATATTTGCCTGACATTTCCTGCAAAATTTTCACTCAACAGATCAAATAGAGCTCCCGACCACATGAGAGTGATGTAGAATAAGATGACCGAATTTCTTACAGGTGGAGCCAAAGCAGCATCAACGATGGATACAGCTGCATCCTCTGGGGACTGCATGAGCCTAAGAATCTTGAGACAGAAAAACGCCATAACTTGTATATATGAAGGAAGCTCATGCATTATGTTTGTTTTTACTGCTCCTGGATCTACCGCCCTACAGCAAAAGAAGAAAACAAAAACAAAAAGAATATCCAAAAACCACTGTGAAAACACATTAATTATCCCACATACTGAAACAAAAAGACGAATAAAAGGAGCGCGTACACAGCAGAGACGTGATGAGAATCATCCGTGAGGCGAAGCTGCCTATGCAGCTCGTATGAGAAAAATAGCAGGCATACTATTTCACAAAAAAAGAAGAGGCTGTATCAACATCATCATCATGATCATGATCATGATATAGGAAAAAGAATATGTTTGTCACTGTAAGATGATTGGCTTACATTTAGAATACTCATAAATCCTAGCACAAGGATATTGCTTTGATACCGAAGAGTACAATACTCCCGTAACAGAATCCTTGTCAAACCTCCCAGAAAAAGCTACAGACAAATATATACCAAGAAAAGACATCAGGCATCTTACTCTGATTGTGTAAGTTTAAAAGAAAAAAAATTTGATCGCTTGCGAGGAAATATTCACCAGAACGATGAGTGAACGATGTAACATTCACGACTCGTGAAGGCACAGGGCTGTTTCTCAGAAGCGGTAAAAGAAGTTTTGTCAAACAGAATGCACCGATATAATTTGTAGCGATCATCCTGACAAAGATGGAGACAGAAAGTGTAAATTTTGGAGTTCAAATTTATGAAACCATAGTTAATACCTTACCTGTCAAAGCCTTCAACGGTTGGCCGACTCGATGTTGCCAGTATTCCAGCGTTGTTCACCAAAAGTTGGATTGAAGATTGTAATTCTGATTCTAAAAGCCATTGCTCTAGAGAGTTTCTGAACTTTAATACTGATAGAAAAGAAGACATGTCAACTTCAAAAGCTTTGAGTAGGGCATCCTCATTCTGCCTCTTAATTTCACTCATCGTCTGTCAACAGAATGTGGCAATCACAAAGATTCTTGCATCAAGAAAAATGTGAAAGAGGAAGTTCTTCTATTGATAGAAGGAAATCAAAGTGACCATGATAAACCTTTGATAGTATGTGGGAGGACCGTCCAACTGCAGAATCAAGAAAGATTCAGCCAATGAATAAGACATGTTCCAACAAGTTATCCTATGCTGAAGCATTGTCTCGTATCAACAAAGTCTAATTCCATTAGAGATGTAAATGAACTTATTTTCTAAGGAAAAGCAACACTTTTTTTTTTGTTTACCAAGAATGACGTAGAACCCCTTCCTTGAAAGAGCGAAGGCAGTGGCCTTACCTATCCCCGAAGTAGCCTGCAATGAATTCAAAAAAGTAAGACTAATAAGTTTAATGTTGTAATTACATTACATCACACAGTATGCGACAATGAATCCTAGGAGAAGAGAGAATGACTTACACCAGTGACAATACAGATAGGTCTCTGTGAAGTATTCCATGAATGATTGGAGGACGAAGAGTAACTTGATTTTGAGCCATAGATCCTTCTTTTAAGCAATTCAAAGTAAGAAAAAAGGAGGGCAATGTTCCAAAACAAAGCCATCCTCCAGAAATTAGATGAGCAGGTAAAATGCAAAGCCTCCTTCAGCTTTTCCATTTGTGTGATCAGCTACTGCACAATTCAAAAAAATAAAAAACATAATGTTCAGTAATATGAAGCAATCAGCTATAATAAAAACAGCACACCATCGGGATTTATCACTTTGAATCAACTGGAGTTAAATTCGTCTACCTGAACAGCAGTTTAGAATATGCCGACTAAATTAATCCTGCGAACTCTGTTTGGAAAATTAGAGATGAAAATCTGGTTCCGGATTCAACAATCAAGCCGTGAACGAGGATTTTTTTACGTCCTGGAAGAATTGTCAAGGGAGAGAAGAACAAGAAGGCGAAAACGAAGAGAAGTGGCGAGTAAAGGAAGAGACAGTAAGCTAGCAAATGCAGAGAACCACAAGGACCAATATGAAAGTTTTGTAAATATATAAACTTCGTCAAATTACATTACAAACCCCAAACTTTCTTTTGATTCAAAATTTACCAAAAATTGACTAATTCTAGATTTGGTTATGAATGTGGTCGAAACGAAACATGTACAGACTGATCAATCAATGAACATAAGTTAGAAAAGCAATCTTGAATTTCTTTTCTCAGAAAAACCAAGAGAGTAAAATTGTTCTATGTTCTTATCTTGGAGATGCGCTTCTGCAAAATTCTGACAAGCAGAGGATTGCCCGGAACTTCTTTCTGCAAAATCGAAGAGTTTCTGTCTTCTTGTATTTTATTTTGCAGCTCATGTGTTTCTTCTACTCCCTATGGTTTATGGATTCATTAACTACCAGCGAAATTTTGAAGAGGCACTTACACCATTTACTCCACACCAAATAAAACAATAAACAAATAACATACATGAACCTCAAAATCTCATGACAATGGAAACAATTTATTAAAATACCATGAAATGTCCCATTTCACGAGCAACCTGAAGAGAGAGCAACTTCATACGTATCAAGTACTCAGAAAAACTCCAGAGGACCTGAGATTGAGACCGGAGGATCTATCACCACGCGGCTCGCCTTTCCGTCTGCGTAAAGCTGAGGCAAAGTGTTGGCCTCTTTGGCTGTAACGCCTTCCGCAGTCCACAACGTAACATGTGGCCATTCGTTCTTGGAGACTATGGTCTCTCCGTCCACAGATCCTACATGGGCTGTTAAGGCAGCCATCTTTTCGTTGAATATGAGCTCTGTGACTTCTACCGGTACCTCTCTGTTCAAGTGCTGACCGTAGTTGGCTACAGCTGCTACGCCGTGGCTTCTCTTGTGGGCAAGCGTCACGTGAGCCCGTTCAAGTTTTTCCTCTATGCTCTTCTTCTTTCCCTCTAGAAAAGATCTCACAGTTGGGTTTGCTGCCGCCAACTGATAAGGAGAATACATCTATTAAGAACAAAGGCCATACGTAACCTCGAGTTCTAATACGCGAGATAGAAGGAAAGATGATGTGGGATCTCATTTGAACTTTTTAACTTTTAGTTTTCAATCGTTGGAGAGTCCTTGACTAGATTATCTTCGGTATGAAAGAACAGGAAGCCTTCTTTTAAGGTAGTTTAATAATCTTGTTGTTTACCTTTTCAACAAGACTGTGGACTTGAGTTACAGGCAAGTTGATGGCAGCGAAAACAATAGACCCATATTTTGTTTTCTCTGAACTTGGTGGTTTGTATTCACCCTTAGCGATTCTCTTTAGCTCTTCTCGCACTTGCAGAACCGCAGACTCAAACGGAACCTGAAAGTTGCAAATCAAAGCAGTTACAATACCAAGCATAGGATTCTAGCTTTTCCTTGAGCCATCAATGACACGGGCTATATTACCTGAACAGAATTGAGATACTCAGAATTTGCAACTAAAGTATCTCTCAGCTGTTTCTCCCATTTGGTCCATTCCGCTGCATATGTTCCTTTTGTCGACTCAAGTCTACAGCAATTGAAGGAAAAAAACAGAGGTCAGAACAACGAAACCGAAGCTAGAGATGAAGAGATGAAGTAAAAAAGAACAGTCACAACAAGAAATAAAAACGTCTGTGAGCACTCGCATTCGTAGGGTATCTCCTGAAACATGATTCAAGTACATCTAATCACAGGGTAAACAAACATGAGTGTTTTTGATGTCTCTCCCTCGTTAGTTTTTGCTAAATTATTACTATTGTATTGCATTTGCTATTGTCTATACAGACAGTATTGTTCAAATATAATACGAACAAAATTTACTGGTTTTTTTAGAAGACTTCGCTTTAATATAATTCAACTTATCAAGTCATGTAAATGATAGTATTGGCTACCCACCTCCCATGTCTTCTACTGTGGAGCTGGAACAAGTCTATGCCTTCCTCAAGAATCGATTTAACAGGATCAGGTAAAGGACTCCTGTATATGCACAAAGGGAAGTCAATTAAGTGGTTTAGCAACCAAATGAATATGAAGTCGTAATTTATTGTTAAAATATACCTGTCTGATCTCAACAGTGGCATCTTGACGAGGGAGCCAAAGCGCTCAATCAATTCACTCTCAAATTCTTTGCGGTTCTGAAAGTTTAGAAGCAGTTCAAATAAATGTGAGATCCAATAATGGTTTACTTAAAGAACCATGATTGGGCGTATGTGATAATACCTTTCCCTCATAAAGGTGGTAAAACATCAATAGCACATAGCCTGCATTCGAAGATGCCTTGTCAAGATTCCCCTGACAATATTCATTGCATATGAAAGAAACAATGACTTATTAAGATATTCATGGTGGTAATGAAAGTTGGATAGTACAGCTGAAGACAAACTTTGTTAAAGAGGCAATTGCTTACCGGATGGTTTACTCGTTGCAGTACACGGAACATGAAAACAGCTAATGCATCAAGTGAATATGGATTTGAATCGGTTCCTGCGCATTCACAAGGGCCCAAAAGTTAATGAAAAACAATAATCACCGAGAGTACGGAAGATGATCCAAGGTAGTAAACAGAACAGAACATTACTCATTGTTAAGCCAAGTATAAATTCCAGCTATAATCATGGGCAAGAAAATTGACTATAAAGATCAGATATTGAATCATATGGGAACAAATTCAGCAAAAGATAACTGATCCTTCTCCTTTCATACTCAAACATTTGCAGGGTCATCTAATCAATTAAAAGGTCAATTTATATGGAATAAACTAGGTATGGGCATTTTAGCAAGCACACAAACAAATTTTTAACAGAAACCCATCAAAAAATGGATACATAGTTACATACCTTCAGAATCAGGAACGACTGGAACTGCAGAAGTCCTAGTTCTCCGACACATGTCTTCAATCTAATTGGAAAACACAATAATTATATTGAAATAATTTGTAAATTTAAAGACTTTAAAAATATATTCACATGACTTTGTTAACACACCAAGTGGAAAGATATCAGGTCAGCGACTTAATATTGATATGGGAACTCTCGAAAGATAACTAGGGTTCACAATACAAACTATGCATGTATATAAGTATACATATTGAAGACAGGTTAACTCAAAAGATTTGTATCAGTAAACCAAGTAACAGTGTCATGGAATCAAATATTAATCTTGATAGCCATTAGTCAACAAAGCAACTTAATACGATTGCATGATTCTTATAAGAAAGGACCCATGGGTATAGCTAACCCCGAACTGCAAGCTTATGAGAAGAAGGTGCAGGGACTCTTATAAGCCTGATTCTCATTCCCCAGTCAATATGAGACTGGAACAGATTCTCAGCGTAGGATAACTCACCTGTCTCCAGACGTCTTCATTCGGGGCATTTTTGTCAGCCAACATTATAGATTGTGGCTTTATACGACGTTCATCAGCAACCTTTGGCCAATATTTACCTGTCCAGTATGCAGAATGATTCATGAGGTGGCATAGCAAATTGAAAGACCAGAAAAATTTCGAAAAAAATCCTACATTTTAAAAGTACCTTTGACAAGGTCACCCATCAGAGTATGCACTGGCCGATCATCTCCAAAGCCTCCAGGGGCGTTCAATAACTCCTTACAAAGTGCAGATTTAGCACATCCAGGAATTCCTGAGAACACATTAGCAGAAATAAGAGAGAGAGAGATTAAAAAGGTAATCTTAAAGCAAACGAATATACTGCTCTCACTTCTGCTCAGAATGTCCAATTTATAATTATCTGTATTACTAAAACAAGGTAAAACAATCAACATAGTTCTACCAAAATCTGAAAACGACTCCCATCAATAAGTTCAAGATAAAACATGGAATAAAACATACAACCAGAATAGATGAGATTTATATAGACAATTTTTTAAAAAGGAATACCTGGGAAGAACACAATTAACCCCTCAGCCTTCTGGACACCTTCCTTCACAGCTGGCCCAGGAGTAGCTGGTGACACTCCCTCTTTCTTCACAAGATCGCCTTCTTCATCTAGATCATCGTCAACAATGGCCAAGAAGTCCTCAGCTCTCACTAGATTCCCAGCAGACCCAATCAAAACCTGATTTTTTGGGCTCCGTTTCGCGTACTGCTCCAGGAATGGCTCAGCTTCACTTAGATATATTGATGAAGATAGCTGCTTATTCCCACACTTTCTTCTTATATAAGCAGCCCTGCAACATTAAGAAGAGACAAAGCGATGCTAAAGCTGTCCAGACAAAGAGAAAATAAGTTCCAACAAAAATATAGAAGCTTAGTCTAGATGTGTAGAGTAAGTGATTCTGGTACCATTCATCAAGCATCTTGCAAAGTTCTTTCTGCTTTCCATTTGAAGTCCCCCATATTTTCATTTGCCTGGATTCAGAAACAACAATAATATTTTGGAAAAAAATCAAAACACAGCTTGATAATATCAATAAGATTATAACATGCAAGTTAACCAAAATCTGAGATACCCAGAAGATCACTATTACATTTGACACGTCACTCTCTCTCTCTCTCTCTCTCTCTCTCTCTCTCTCTATATATATATATATATATATATATATATATATATATGGGAGTAAGCAGCTCACCTAAGGTAGAAGGCTTTATAAGATGCTGGCCCCTCTTTGAATAGAATTGATAGGCCATTGCGGATCAGAAAGGTTCTCAACTGTCAAAGAATTGAAGACATATCCAGCATCATGATAACAATGCAGCCAAATAGGTAGCAAAGTGCAACAGATCAAAAATCCCTTTAGCCAGAAGACCTTCTTGATAAAAAAAGATACCTTGTATGTGAGAAACTTCAATTTGATCATTAAGTTAGCATCATCATCAGCCAAACCATCTTTTCTTAGTTGACCACAATTTTCACTGTCATCTTTTCCCTCACTGTCAATGCTTTTCACAGCCATCGGTTCACTCCCTTTGTTTGCCTTGAATAAATTAATATCAACAAAGAAACCTGAAAAAAAAAAATGCAAAAAGAATCACCAACTGATATAGTTAAACGAAAGACCAGATGGTAGAGGTCTATCGATATGTCTAATTATTCTTTGCTTATCGAGACCAGATGTGTGCTACCACAACAACCAAAGCTGACACGTCCAGGAAATTTTGATTTCTTAACAAGTTCTTTTTCACATAGACTATGAACTACAGAAAGCAGAGACAAAATTATTAAGTTTCGCAAATGAATTGGTGCCTAGTTATTTACGTATTGTCTTTAAGAACAAAACCAAAGAACAAGCAACCAAAAAAAATAGTTACCTCTATATAAAGGCCACAAACTAGGCATGTACCTGAAACACGGTAATTGTATGGTTGAGTAAACAAAAATCAATCATTTCTTAGTTTGATCAAACTAGAGAAGTTTTAAAAGATAACCTCATCTCTTTCTGGTACCGCCTAAATCCTGAATCACTGTGCACATGAACAACCAATTTATAAAATAGGTTGTCAGGTGATAGGTCATTAGCTCTATGAAAATTATGGTAACACTTGAATGCGGCTGGAAGACGTTTTTCCTTCATCAAGCGTACCATTTCCTATTGAATGCAAATATTCAGTTGCTCATCAAAAGTACATAAAGAATGGAAACTGGTAAATGAAAACCACACAAAAGTACATTGCAAGTGAAAGAATATTATAACCAATAATCTCGGAGAGTTGGACGCCACATATGCAAAAATCAACAAAGACGCAGAGCTTAAGTTACCTGTAATTTACTCGTCGAATAATCTGCAGGCTGAGATTGCAGGAATTTTGTTACAACAGATTTGTCAGCATTTTTCGAATGAGAATCTACAAATTCATCTCCAAACCAATCCAAGTCACTGGGGCAAAAGCTTGGGCCAGCACTCTTTAAAAGTGCTCTCATTTGCTACAGCAACAATTAAAAAAAAAAAGAAGATAAACTAGAATGAGAAAATTTTACTAAGAGGTGACAGCATAAAATTCAACGTGATGAAGCTCTTGATACTTCTCGAACCTGTTTCTCGTTAGACCTATGGGCAGCACATATCTCTCTTAGACTGAGTCCCAAATCAAGATTAGCTGATTGGGAAAAAAAAACCAAGAAAAAGGAAATTTTTTAAAAATCTACCCAGACTTGATAGAGTAGAATACTATGAAACTAACGTAAAACCAAAAATGATAAGATTTTGCACCTCCATCACAGGGTGGTGGAGGATGATCTCTCAAGACATTTTCCATATCTTTGGCGCTCCCACTGCTCACGATACGCGCCACAAGACCCTCTAATATCTCACCCTGCACCTTCACATGGTCCTTAGAACCTGGTTATTTTCATCCAAAAATTTGTTCAGTCAAATGTATTTCATCTCGTTGAATTCTTTGAAAAACTTACATGAAGTTTCAAAAAAATAAAACCATGGTACGAAAAGGAAAATCATTACCTGGGACCGATATATCAGCTACTTCATCAAGAGCCCTACAGACTGAGGTTGCTATCCCTTCTTCGCAGAGTGCATCAAATGCGGCGAAAAAAGAGGTCACTGATTTCCTTTTACCAAATTACAAGCAACAACCACAGTTAAAATATTTATTTTCTTCACGACAAGCTGTCTAATAAAAATTCTTTGGACAGTGTGCGCTTCCAAAGATATCAGCATATGTCTGCTCCTAGTAGGACCACAAAATCTAACGTATGAGATTTAGGAAATTAAACTAGTAACTGCATCAAACAGGTTTTATCAGCACATTCTTACTGAGCTGACAGGAACAAGGGCCCAAGGTAAAATGACAGTAGAGGGCAACATTACAAAAATGATTAGAAGGACGTTAAGTTACCTTGTGGAAAACAGCCAAACATGATTTGTTGGTAGACGCCATTTCCGGCAAAATGCAATTATTTCTGAAGTTGAATAGAACTTGGGCTTACCATTACCTAACTCGGTAACAGCCGTCACTACCACTGCAAGATGGAAATCAAAATTTCTTAACTAGACAGCTTTAGCAGGTTTATCTGACTTTCATAAATAAGGCGTATATAGTTTGAAAGGCATTGACTCTAGTTCATCTAAAAACGAAAATACTTAACCATAATCATCCAGTGGGCGTTGACCATGATCTCCGAGAACAGCTGTAACCAGTTCCATAGATATGCACATGCGACTTTTCTGCGAGAAAATGACATATTATGAGCTATCCTATTGTGGCATTGATTCAGCCTCGAGCATTTAGAAATACCTCAAGAAAATCATTGAATTCTGCCTGTTTCTTTAAAGCATTAGTTCCCCAAGCTTCCCTGAACATCCGTGAAAGAACAAAAACACCAACCGCAGTATAACTGCAAATGAAACATTGGGGTTAGCATATGAGAGAAACTTTTAGTCGCCACATCAAATGGCGAGCACTAGAAAGATCCACATAACAGCATCAAACATGAAAAAAAAAAAAAAACTGTTTTCATATCTTTATCGACTACAGCTTCTATATGGTGTGGAATATTTATGCTAAAAACGACACCAATACCATCAGCAAACAATAATTATTCAGAAGGAAAACATAAGAAATTTTGCTGGACAGACTAATTCATAAAACTAAGATGGAGGAAGTAATCTGTGCTCTAAGTGAAATGAATGAAAAGCATAAACAAATCCAAAGCTTAAATATGAGTTCAATCGTTGAGGTTTTCCCTTTTTCTAAGATTATTTGTTAAAACTCATCATGAATCAAGAAAGGAATATATATAACATTAAGGAAAAACTGAAGCTAGGAAAAAACGAGCTTACATATTACCAAAACTGTTCTTTGCATATGCTCCTCCCGTGTGACCGGCGTACATAAAGAGAGAGCCTGAATGCTTAAGAGATACCTGTAAAAGGTGCATTACAAAAGGTCCGTGGACAGTTAGAACTTCAGATTGTCAAATAGAGGTATTCACATATAGAGTGTATATATATGTTCTTAATACCTCCAACGTTGCCAACCCTTTAGATACCATCTCAATCATTCGTGTTCTTATCTGCCAAAAGGAAGGTAAATGCAACATGAAACGAAGCAAACTAACATTTAGTTCTAGAAAAGACCAGCAGTGATAGAGAGGGAACTTGTAAGTTTACCTCTTGGTCAGTCTTTTCATTCTCAAACTTTGGATAGAAAGTGGCTCTGATCTGGGCATGACAATAAGTCGACTTGTCCACAGTGAAATTTTCCAAGAAATTACCTCCGAACAATTTGCTCTGATTGAGACCAACTTTTTGAGGTGTTGCATCTCCAGATGAGACTGAAGCCGAAGATGATCCACTAATGGTTCCATATGACTTAGGCTTCCATACTAGATTTTGCACACTGTGGTTGTGGACTGGAACATTGGTGTTGCTTTCCTCAAGACTCAGCCCAGGAAATTGGCCGTTTACTGCCTCTACAACAATGGAGGCAGAACGATCACTGGATTCAGATGGAGCATCCATGTCCGCCTTTACTTGCCACTTTTGCTCAGCGTGAGCTCTCTTTTTCTGCCAACACCAAACAAAATGAATCAAGTTCAGTATACATAATAAACCTAAAAGCAATAAAGAACTCAACAAAATCAAGACTTTTTGAACAAAATGAGTCAACTCTCGTAAATAGAGAATCAAAAATCCATAGTCATAGTAGTGCAACACAAACTAACGTTCTTTCGCGGCACATTATCAACGAAACAATCAAACACCCAGAAAGTTCAGATTTTCGAGAGGGGGTTATAGATTAGAAACAGAGGATATAAAAAATCCGATAAATTCGTCAATTGCTAAACCCCCATATAACCCAGATTTTTTTTTTTCAAACATAAAGCCAGAATTTGTTTAGCAAATTAATGGCAAAATCAGAAAACTAGATAAAGAAGAAAAAAAAAAGTAGCCAACCTGCTTCTTAGGCATATCCGGCGGATAAAATATAATCGAGGAGTTAAAACAGAGAGAGCGAGCTAAGGTAACGTAAGGAGAAGATGATCGGAAAAGAGAGGAGGTTCGAGAAGAAGCAGGAAGATGGATTCTGAGAGAAATTGCAAAGAGTGTTCTGTGTGGAACTGAAGACATCCACACGTGGTTTCTTCTGGTGCAACCCACGTATATCGTCGGGGAGTCAAAGAGAGATGGAGAGGCAACCAAGTTAAAGCTCGACGTGCTTGCTGAGTCATCAACAAGCAATCTGTGAGGTTTTAGCTAATCCGGCGTGACGAGACGACGGAGTTTGTAGAAAGTGTTATGGTGCGGGAAAGAGCACTGTAACAAAGATGATCCCGCTAATGAATGGGCCTGAGATGGCCCAGTTTCGTTACTAATGGATCAGAAGAAGAACGTCGGAAGAGGAAGAGGAAAATAAAAAAAGAGAGCACGAGATACTTTGGGTTAGAGCATCATTATCGCTAATACCTATATGAGTTTTTTAGTCAATTTTTTATTATTAATTTTGAGTTAAAAATTCTTGTTAAGAAACTATTAATTTTAAAGGTCCAATGCTAGAATCCATTAAAAGTTCTTAAAAAAAACCATCAAAGTAAAATTACCATTGGTATTGATTTTCAATGCATTCTAACGTAACAAGATAAATAAAATTACCAAGAAGTATGTCCCCAACATAATCCTTATACCAAATCTCCAAACCATCGCATCCATACAAATGGTTGGTATTTACAATTTCTACAAGATCTGATCATGATTGAAAACATCTTGAAGAAAATGAATGTGACCAATATGAAACTGGATTGTGATGTAACAAAGAATAATTTCATCTAAGCTTCTATTAAAATGCCAACTACAATCATTATACACAGAAGAAGTAATGAATCTATACAAGCAACAAATGTATTGGCTTTAGCTTACTAAACAAACACCTTTCCGTAAACACAACAAGAGTTTGATGATCATCAAACTCCAAAGATGTTCGATTTGCATAGAGAATTTACCTTGGCATAGTAATCTTTCCAAACTCTTCTTGCAATCTGATGGCCTCCCAAATCAAATGCCTTGAACTTGATTTTGCCAATGCTAAGTTCCTCCCAAAACATCAGATTCATTTAGCCTTCACAAGAAATGTAATACGCAAAACAAGAAATGTAAACTAATATAAATCCCAACAAAACAAGAAATGTAATACGCAAAATTCTGCCAGACCCTCACGTTAAATAAGTAGAGATTATAATATGAGTAAGTTGAGATGAGTAAGTGAAGACTGATCTACTCCGTTGTTTTGACAGAAACTTCCATGGAGCTCTGACTAAAAGTCTAAAACTAGACACATCTACGTACGACAACTGTGGATCCCTTGAAATTCGAATCTAGTTTCTGCGTATCCGATAATGCAATAGTAGTACTTGCACGTTTCAGCCTATCTAACTCTAGAACCAAAGAAATAATCGAAAGTGTCTCACTTTCCAGTCCCATTGAGATCTTGTTAATAAAAACATTATGTTGCTCAAATTGTCTAACTTTCATAACAGTGCCTGACAAAACGGATTTGCAACGAGCTAGCCTTTAGGGCGATTCTCTCAGTTGACAAACTTTCAAAAGACTAAACCTTGAACTAGAAAACAAGTACAACCAAATCACAAGAACGACATAATGTAGCCTGATTTTCAATTGTCTGGTGTAATAACACTCTAACTCCACCAAGAAACTCTTGTAATATGCCAAAATCGTTTTTTTTTTTACTTTCTCCACAGCAAAATTCGATTTACAAACAAGCAAACCTATAAAACCAAATGTACATTGATGCTTCTACTCTGTTTGCCATTGACTACCTGTACATTGAACTTCCATTTCAGCCAAAGCAATGCTGTTAATTGACATACAAGCTTTCAGATTTGGTTACTGAAATCCCGAGTATGATCCAGTTTTTTTCTAGCTTGCTCGGTAAGTCCACCATGTTGAAACTATGGAGAAAATCAAATTTCAATGCCAAGCAAAATCATACACCACAAAACTTGCCAATCAAGCATATGCCAAAAGTGAATCCCAATTCACAAAACTTGCCTATGCAACTAGATACAGAACGCCGAACCTGCAAGGAGAGAACCCATCAGAGACGATGAGGTATCATCGCCATCAGAGGGCCGCGGCGAATTTGTAAGAGGAGGAGGAGGAGGAGAATGATTCGTCGTTGTTGGAATTTCGGAGGAGAATCTAGAGAGTGAGAGACCACCACCGGATGATTTGTGATTAGGATTCTTCTTCGGAGGTTTGAAGAAGAAATCTCCTTCGCCGTTAACCGAGACAGGAAGAGTCACAGCAATCGAACGCGGAGGGTGGAGGAGAGGGAAAGAGGCGGTGGAATCAGTAGAGGAGGAAGATTCCGTGGAGTCACGAGCGGTGGAGGTTACTACCAGCTGAGGTTACTAGAGGCGTCGGAGATAACGAACTAGTTATCGGCGGTGATGATTTGTTCGGAGCAAAGATCGAAATCTGAGATTAACTGGTGGAGAATTGGAGAAGAAGAGGTCGAGGTTTTGAGAAGCAAAAATGGTCGAGAAACCACAAAATTTTCTCGGCTAAAATTTTTTTTCGGGTAAAACTTTTCTTGACCAATTAGAAGGCCACAGGTGTTTAATAAGAATCGTTTCTTCAAGACCCCAAATAAGAAACGATCTTTCTCAAATTTAAACTTATTTTATTATTTTAATGTTTTTTGAGGGTAAGAAACCCCTTCTATATCCCGCGATAATGATGGTCTTAGATTTAAGGTTTGAATTTTCATCGGTTTTGGTTGGTCTTGGGTTAATTTTATAGATTTGTTTTGGTTTAGGTTAAACTTTTGTGACTCGAAAATTGAATCAGTTTAGTTTGGTTTCATCGGTTGATAAGTGCCACGTCAGATCTTATACGCGGGAACTAACGCCGTTTTGACCAGTCCAGTGAACACTTTAACAACACTTCACACTTGCGATCTTTATTCACACAGTTTTCACTTTTAAAGCATTATTAAGAGCATGTACATCAATAAATTTGTGTGTGAAATTTTTAGCTTTATTATATTATTTTTTTTAGTTATGAATAGTTACGAATCTCTCCATGTTTTGAGTTTCCATTAGTGAAGCCAGGGCCAAATCTGGGGACAGCCTGATGAAACATCCGCCTACAGCCCCAAAAAATTTTCTTTGGTTATTTACGAATTTTTCAGCCTCCAAATCACAAAAAAAAAAATTTGTTCTTAAATTGTTTCTAACCCCCAAATTCTCAGATCCGGTCCTGAGTGAAGTTCAGATTCTTAAAAATAAAATATTATTTTTTTAAACTTACATTTATTATAAAACATGATTTTTAATATATTACATGAAAATTAAAATATACTATATTTATAAAACCAGATTTTAATTTATTTTGTTCATAATTTTAAACATACTAATACTTATAAAACCAGATTTTTAAACATACTATACTTATATGTAGGCAATGTGAATGTGCACATGAATAATGAGTATATATTTCCATAAGCTAAAACCTTATATGAGATTAATCTAGAGAGCACATAACAGATACTTGCATTGGATAATGCTAACTTCGGGATATAGACATACATATAGTGAATTGCACAGATACTTAAAATTGGTTTATTTGGTAAATGGTAATATGTGAAAATATGAAAAGTTCGGGTTTTTAAGTTATTCATCGCAACAATCACTGGCAAAATGTAAGGCTCACGTAGTAAAGCTCGGAGACAATCCCTTTGAGCACTATGAATGCAGCTCTAGCCCCAAACACGCCTTTCCTTAAGTAAACACATTTCTGCTATGAAGAAGAAGACCCTACAAATAATCATCCTAATCCATTGAAGTATACGACATTTACAGCAGCAAATGTCACAACAAGATATGTTTTTGAAGTTAAGACAGAATTTTCTGCAATTAGAGTAGATGGAAAGTGTGCTGTTCAAAAAAAAAAAGAGTAGATGGAAAATGAAGTTTCCCCATTAAAATCCACTAGAAAAATCAAGCTTACTGAGATAAACAATTTAATCTAAGAAGAGAAGAGCATTTTACCAGGTGGTGATGAAGAGAAAAATGGCACATCGGCTCGCCAAGACTGAATATGAAATCTGTTACAAGAATCAAAGTGAGCTTGAGATTTCTACTCAACACATAGAAAGTTAAAGAGCAAGTATCAAATCATCACTTGGAAACAAACAGCCGATAAGGAACAATACTCAGAAACAGTAATCAAATCCGGATTTTCACTATAATTATTAATCGTATCATTCTATTTCACTACTTGAAGCAGAAATTGGGTTTAAAAGCAGTAAAGGATCCATCTTTTCGAAACCCATACCGATTTACCAAAGATCCTAAAAAGACGACGAAGCAATTGCTTAGAAACGCGAAGGGCTCGATTAAATTCAGTCACAAAATCGTAAATATTACTAACCAGGAATGAAGAAAGTAGAAATTGGTTGATCTTCTCTTGGACGAATCACAACTCTTCTCTCCAAAATTTCTTCTCTTTAGGAATTGCGAATCCAATCGCAAAAAACCTAAGTACAATGGTCGACAAAATTTCATCGGCCAAAAAAAATTGGTCGCGAAAAAGAATGGTGGAATACCAGATTAAAATTTTCCAAAATCCAATAAACAACCCCAAATAATTCAACCAATCCCTAGTGCCACGTCCTGTAAGAGACATACGGGTTCAATAGAAAAAGCCTTTTTTCTTCTTTTTAAAAAATTCGTTCGGCCTATGTTTTTGGGCCCAAAATGGGTTTAGATATCCTGATGGACATGATCTAAAACACTTCAAAATGGGTTGATTTTATAGGTTTGTTTTGGTTTAGGTTAAACTTTTGTGACTCGGAAATTGAGTCGGTTTAGTTTGGTTTCATCGGTTGATAAGTGCCACGCCGTTTTGACCAGTCAAGTGAACACTTTAACAACACTTCACACTGGGAGATATTTATTTACACAGTTTTCACTTTTGAAGCATTGAAACAATAAACATTTCCGATACCAACCATATATAATAACGCATTCGCTAACATGTTAAAATATAACTTGGAATCAGCCAAAAATGTCACCATATATTACATTCTAGTGTCTTTAACATATGTGTATACTACGTAACCCTGAATTACTAAAGGGCCTTGAAGTGAAGTAATCAAAATTATAGTTATGATCATATCCAAAACGGATCACACCACAACATTGATAGGTTGGTGTTTGAGTTGTCTTTGAGGAATCCAAAATCATTGCTCTCTTCATCGGGGCTGCCTATGAACTCATCACAATTTTCAAAGGAACTCCCAAACGACATATAATGTTGTTCTTGTTTTGGTTGGTCCATGTAATTATGAATCAGTTCTAGTAAATTTGATCTTTGAGACTGCATATTCACTATCTCAACTTGAGCTTTTGCAAGCTGTGCTTGGAGTTCACTAACTTGTCTTTGTAGATGGTATATGGCACCTGCACATCCATAAACCGGATCTCTAATTCTAGCTCCGGCTTCATACACCATACTGTTCACCGCATCAGTTCTTTGTGATTCTGGAAGTTCCTGAAAATCAAAATGTCATAAACAAATTATATAGCAGCAAAGCAAAGTGATCAAGCACGATTTAACCTTTTGAAAATATAATTTGAATTGAAAATGATAAGCTATAAGACTTTTTTTTGTTTTTGACCAAGATTATTCTACACGTCTTTGTCAAAGGTGGATAAAAAAAGGAAAATGTTTGAGAAGGACAAACGAGTTATTTATGCAATTATATCGCTGGTCTTCAAATAAAACTTTTTAGCATTAAAGGAGCTTATAACTGTTACACCAACAAGAAGTTAATGATGTACCTGCAAGAACTTAATGATGTTGCTGGCACCAAAGACGCGGTGGGCGATGGTGAACTTGGCCGGCTCCGTTGGAGGGAAGTACGGTGCCAAAACGCATTTCTCTCCGCAACGTCGACGCAGGATTTTGCAAGCTGCGCATGGGCTAAGCACAACCCGCGGTGAAAGCGGTGGGGGATGAGAAGAGTTTGATGATGCAGAGATGATAGCAGCAGAAGCGTCACCTTTATTCTCCATATCAAGCATTATCAACTTAGAATGTTGTTTTTTTTTTAATTTTGCGTTTTGGGGGGTTAATTGATCAAATTATGAATTTGGTGGAGGAAAATGGTGGAGGAAAATTAGAAAATATATGTATCTTAAGTGTGCATATTGGTAGGGAAAACAGAGAAGTGTATATATATATAGGGAGAGAGACAAATGATGTAGGGAAAGAGGTGACCACCTGACATCATAAGCACGAATTGTAACGTCATTCTTTTGTTGAAACATATTTTCCACTTTGGGGTACGGTGGCTCCTAAATTCCTCCACGCTTTCATGTTTCAACGGTTGCTTGACTTTGGCACAATTAATTTCTCTGCTCATCTTGATATTTCTCCATGCTTATATTCCACTTAGTCTCTTAAAAGTCTATACAGCTCACATTGGTTTATCTACGTCCAGATTCTAGGATGTTCTTTCTGATGATGAAGATTTAACAGACTCCAAAATCACTGCAAAAAACTCTAATTCTTTTATTTTTCGCTTTCTTAATGTAGGTTTAAAGTAGATAATTTACGTACGTCTGTAAAATCGTTTTTAATTAACATAGTCAACACAATGTTTAAAAAAAAAAAATTGTCAACACAAAAGTTTATTTAACGTATCAGAAATCAGATTACTATGAATCAAAACTTTGAAGTTCTATGGATGTTAGCTATTATTCTTACAACAGTGTATGGAGTAGTACGTATTTAACTAAATGTAACATTGTAGAGTAGTTGATGCATATAATCTATGTTCTCATAGTAAAATTTACTTATGTATCTTATCTAAACTATACATATACTTTTATTCGCCGGTGACTTTGCAAGTCGTACTCAAGTATTGATAGCTAGAGAAATAACACAAACGGCCAAGTGTTTATATTTAGGTTGCCTAATTTTTGCTGAATCGTATTTTGTTTTTATTAACCAGTATTCTTGGAACTCCTTTGTATTTTAGTCCTGAATATTGTCTTAACGACTTTCTATTTGAGCGACTTATCTTTCGAAGTGGCGGTATATATCAAAAATCCAAAAACACTAGACTATTACAGATTTTTATTCCCAAAAAAGATATATCATTTTAGTATTATATAATTGAAATCTGTGTCTTTAGAAAATATGTACTGGATCAATTCCCAGGGGTCCCCAAACATCAATTATTCAGCAGTATCATGTTCATCAACAACATTAATAAGAAAAATTATAGATTACATAAATAGAAGAATGACACGTATAGTCAGTGGGATCGCTAGTTATTGGGTGTGCTCTTGCTTCCACCTTCAACAGCTTTGCTATCTCTACACTACGTACTCTCAACTAAATCCTCGACTTTTTTTTTGAAAATGATTAAAAGATCTTTTTTCTTTTCTACCAAAATGATTAAAAGATCTTCTTCTTTGTTTTCTTTACAAAAAAAAATTGTAATGGTATGTTTGAAAAATCAGGCGCACGATTTTCTTTCACAGACGTAAAGAAAAAATCCACACACGTTCAGGTATTTAAGATTGGAGTCGCTCGACATTAATAAAACATCGACTTAACGATAAGTTTCGAAGTGGATTTTTTTTTCTTTACGTCTTCGTTTCAGTGGAACCATAATCAATTTCTTTTCGTTGTTTTTATAACACAAAACTGAAGTATCACTTTAAAATAATAAATATCTTTGGTGATTGGTCAAAGATTGTCTTTTGCATCGTGTACATTAGGATATTGTTTATTTTTATTGGACTCAATAAATGCTGCAAGTACTGTAAGTGTAACTCTTCAGTATGAGTATCATCATTATCCTCAGATCAAATCAACAATACCTTTTTCCCCAATCATTTTCTTCTGCATTTTTCTTTTGGGGACAACTCTTGCGCCAGTTAAATTATATAAAATCGTCAGACTATAATTTTTTTTAACATTACGATTCCACTAGGTTAGACTATAATCGTTACGTACGTGTGTTTGAAAAATATGTCATGTGTTACCACCATTCATCTAAACAGTAAAAATAAACAACAAAGGTATTCATTATTTTTTTAAAAATAAATTGTTTTGCCTTTCGTGTCACATTTGCATGAACATATAGTATAATGCTGGCGGTTGATATGCAGCACACTTTGTTTTACACTAGTCAGGTTTCCTGTATGGTTTGTTCTGTCTTTGTCTGATTGTTTTTGTTCTGCACTTCAATTCTCCTTCCAAAACATCCACACTCGATAGGTTAGCATGTGTGTAATTGTTAATTAACATACCACCAATATATACACACACACTTTTGTACAGTATAGCTATGGGTGGGGTGGGGGACTAGAAATATTTGGTCTCACATGAATCAGTTTGAACGATTATAGAATTTGTAAATGATTCCCTCCAGAAAAGGGAAATACAAAGATGTTGCCAAGTGTTCGTACGCCAAGGGACTATTGGCAACAATTATCTGCTCAAATTTAATCATGGCATCTAATTCTAGTGATGTAACATAAGTGTTAAGTTTCTTGCGCACCGCATAAATGATACGTATGACTCATTGACTATGATTTCAACGATTCAAATGTCTGAAATTTCTTAAGAAAACTAAACAAAATACTGATAACTTTTAGTAAGAGCCTAACGAGATTTAACCAGAAGGACTAAAAAAAAGATTTAAATGTTAAATCGACTAAAAACGGGATGTTACGACTGATAGCAGACACTCAGAAATTTATTATTAATGACATTATTAATCATTAAAATTATATCCGCACAAAAAAACGCTGTTGTAATAGTAGTATAATGCATTTTTTTTGGTTAAAAGGTATATATAATGTATTAATGTATACAATTGTAGATTATCGAATAGTTGAATGTTAAAAACCAAAATTACTTTCGCTACGATCCTAGGGATCGAGTCCTCTCCGATCTCCATTACACTTCTAGATTGGCTACTGTCACTACAAGAAAACATTATGATTTCTGACGGAATTTCCGACGGTTTTTTTGCCGTCGGTAATTTTCGACAGAATCCCGACCAAAAACTTAAAATAACCGATGGTTCAGATGTCATCAAAAATCGGTTGGAATTTCTGACGAATTTCCAACCGATACTTAAATAATTGGAGATTTGATTATTTTTCCGACGAAAGTAATAAAAATAATCAAAATTTTTATTTTTTTATTATTTCCGTCGGAAATCCGTTAGAAATTTAATCAAATTTCCGACAGATTTTCGACGGATGCTTTAAATTGTCGATTTTGAAAACTCCGTCGGAAAGTCGTCGAAACTTTGATAATATTCCGACGAATTCCGACGGATATAATAAAAATAATTAAACTTTTGACAATTTGGAGTCAGAGATTGGCGAATTTGACGAGAGTTCTGAATATTCTTCCGATGAATTTGTAATACTATTTATATTATTATGAAAAATGTAATTTTATTATATTTCCAAGATTTTAAAATACTAATGTATTCATTCTTTAGTCAAATATAATTTTTGCACCATTTTACCAAAAAGAAAAATAGAACTATATCATTATATATTGAGATTATATGTTTTTATAATTTTTAATAATAAATATGATCACTATTTTAACAATAATAATAATAATTCTCAAACCCTAAACATTAAACAATCATCCGTCGGAATTCCGTCGGAGATATCCAACGGATTTCTGACCGTTAGATAGATATTCTATCGGATTTCCGTCGGAAATGATAAAAACACGTGCTTAAATCGATTTTTACATGTGTTTTTTAAAATGGTCGGAAATCCGTCAGGAATTTCCGACGGATTTCCGACAAAACAAAAATATTTTGACGGATTTTCGACGGAAATGCGACGAATAAGGGTTCAGAAACATCGAAATTGAATTTTGTTTTGACAATTATGGTTGTTATGATGATATTAGCTATTATAATTGAGTTATATGTTATTTTATCTCAAAATTAGATTATTTTCATCATTTAACCAAAAATATATATCAAACCCTAAAACATAACCTTAAGTTCTATATATCTTTAAGAAAGTTATATGTTGCTCATTAGTAGATTTCAAAATTCATCATAACTTTTGTTTTATGTTGATTTGTAAGGGGAATATTGTTATATGAATCTAATCATCTATTGTAAAGATTAATCTCATTAATTTTTGCAATTTTTTATGCCCTAATCATTAATCCGTCAGATATCGGTCGGAAATTTCCAACCGATTTCCGACGGAATATATAAATGTTCCAAATTTGAACAAAAATTTGATGTATTTTATATGTTTGTCATTAGTAGATTTCAAAATTTTAATTTACAAAGTATAATGTATTACTATGATTTTTTTTTTTTTAAAATCATCATATTATCATAGTACATCGGAAATCGGTCGAAATTTACCAACTGATTTCTGACGGGCTTTGTGAATTTCCCAAATTTTCCTAGGTGTATAAAGAATTATAGATCCATATGAACATATTGATGTATTTTATATATATATATATATATGATGTTTATATGTTTGTTATTAGTAGATTTCAAAATCATAATTTACAAAAATTGATGTATAACTATGTTGATTTAAAAAAATTATCTTATTTTCATAGTCCGTCGGAAATCCGTCGGAAATTTCCGACAGATTTCTAACGGACTTTGTAAATTTTTCTAAGTGTATAGAATTTAAGGTTTTTTTAATTGTCCGTCGGAAATCCGTCAGGAGTTGCTGACGGATTTCCGACGGATTCCGAAAATTGCCCGCGAAACCGAACCGCGTAAAATTTCCCAAATTTTTAAATTATTTCTCACCGCATCCCGACGGAAGTCTTAATGATTCCCCACCGATTACCGACCACCCCTCTTTTTATTTACTACACACGATTCTTCTTCTCCCTTTCTATTCTTCTTCTTCCTTCTCCATTTTTCTTCTTGCTCTTCTGCTCGGCACTGCCAGAATTCATCCCAGATCTGGTACTTCTCGCCGCCGATCTGCTACTCAAGCTCTCAGGTATTGATTTGCATCTCCTCACCTTCTTTTCTTCTTTCTTATCTTCTCCTCAGCTTCTCTTTTTGGTTTTTATTTTTGCAGGCTGAAGTCCACCACCACCGCCGCCAGATCTGAAGCCACCGCCGCTGCCGTCGACCCGCCAAGCTTCCATAGCCGTAGATCTGCTTCATCAGCCTGAAAATTGTAAGTTTTTTTCATTGTTTGTTAGTTTGATTGATTGAATATCCAAAACAAAATTAGAGGATTGTTAAGATGAATTTTAGGATGAATTATAGGAATTGTTAGTTTTGTTAGTTTTGTAAATTAGGTTGTTTTATGTTAGAATTTGTTAGAATTTAAGTAGAATTTATTCTGGATTTTGTTAGAATTTTAAGAAAAAATTAGTTTTGTTATTTGTTAGAAATTATGCTAGATTAGAATTATTAAATTTATTTGTTAGGATTGTTATAAGCAAATTGTTAGATTTTTCTATGTTAGATTTAAAATTAGAATTGTAACATATTATCTAGTAAAATTATTAGATTTCTTAGATATATTGTATATATTGGATTTTGTTTAATTATTAGATTTATTTATAAAAATGACTTTCGAATTTAATTTTAATTTAGCATTTTAATTATATATATAAATTTAAAAATTATTAAAAATATTTTTTTTATTAAAACACAGGAGTGGTCGGAAATCGGTTGGAAAATAAATAAAAATATTCCGCCGATCCGTCGGAAATTATCGAATTCTATATCTCTCGATTTTCCGTCGGAAAACTAAATCCATCGGGAATCCGTCGGTAATTGACAAATTTGTAGAGTTGTCGGAAGTTCGTCGGAAATCGTGGAGCCGTCGGAAAAGGGTCGGAAATACCACGTCCCTCGGAGTTTGGTCAGAAAAGTTAAACCCGTCAGAAATCCGTCGGAAAGTTTAGTCCGTCGGAAATCAGTCGGAAATTTCCGACCGATTTTCGACCATTTTGTTTTTTCCGACGAGATGATTCCGACAACCATATTTTGTCGGAAATTCGTCGGAAAAGCCATTTTCAGACGGATTTCCGACGAATATGGTCGTTGGAAAATCGTATGTTTTCTTGTAGTGCTGTAAACATTTTCGTAAAATTCTCATTGAAGAAAGTTATTAAATCAGGTTCTCTGAATGAATACTTTTTCTAAGCTAGTCACAATTTTTTAAATATTGTCAAATCTACAACAATTCGCAATAATTACTTTATTGGCTTTTATGTGTATGAGATATCCATGTCATTTTGTCTTACTTAGTACAGCTAATTTCTTTTTGTTTTCAATATGATAGTGCTTTTTTTCTTATGAAGCTATAATTGCTTTGAATTTCTTTTTAGACTAAAGAGTAAAGAATGTATAAAACAAAAGTGACCCACACGGAATTGAAAGAGGACTTCACTAATGTTACAGCCAATTTCCCACACACAAGAATACTTTGCAAAAATCCGTTCCAATCTACACTTCTCTCTTCTCGCTCCAGTCTCATATTTTCTAATGCATACGATTCGGTATTCTCGGACTGATACTTACGTAAGAATTTATTTATTTATTTTGGATTGTTTTGAAATTGGGTTGTCAATGACTAACAGAATTTAGTAAAAAAAAAATGAAATTGAAATTGACTAACAAAATTCTAACAGAATATGTAAAAGAAATCAAAATAACAAATTTTACCATAGATAACATAACACGGAAGAAAGACCCGTGAACTTAAAAAATGACTAATATAGCAAATCATTTTGAATGGCAACTTGACTTACATTTGCCATGGCCAAAGCTCCAGCCACTGACCAATTATCACAGGGAGCACGTCAACTAAATTGGCCTATACGCCAACATATATCTGCTGTGTGTGGTCTTCCTATATCCCAAACTGGCAGCGATCTTGAACATCTATCTCGTGAAACGGCACCTAGATTCTCTCTAGTTGAGGTTTTGTCATATCGTTTAAGCTGATGAACAGTTAGAAAAAGCACTAAGAAGAGTTCCATTTTCTAGATGAAAAACCCGTCCGTACAATAAAAAAGGGGTTTGATATCAGTATCGCTAAACTTTCTCAGTGTTGTTTTGTTGGGGTGAACCACTACAGCAGGTATGAAACCTACAAATTGAATTTAGCCATAGGCGATTGATAGTGAGAGAAGTTGATTTATTAGAATGTCTAACCAGCAAAAGCGCAACGAATCCGCGTCAATATCACAAGATCCCCATTCCGCAACAACAAACAAAAACAAGCTACGCAAATCCAAGAGAGTACATTAAGAAATCAAATGACAAAGTTCAAATGCAATGCGAACCCTATGGCCCACAATCCAAAAGCAGAGTCTTGGAGACAGCTTAAGCATCAGCAAACCTGCAACAAACAGTAGATACAAACTCGTATCATCATACAATTCAATTTGGATTTACTTCTACTCTCTGATTCAGATATTCATCAATAAGTACCCGAGCTCTGAAAGCTTCAAGTGAGCCTCAGTGTAATCAGCAAAAAAGGCGTCTTCGTCCTGTTCACATTGTGGCAAGCAACATGAGTTCTCTATTATACCAATTCCAAAAAAAAGAGAAAGAAAAAAAACAAAAAAGAAAGAAAGGATGCATACAGCAGCGTATTTCTCAACCAAAGGACGGAAAACAGGATCGTCCAATAGCGCCTTGTCAGAGACAAGCTGAATAAGGCCTTCCTTCTCTCCGGTCAAGAGTTCCCTGGTTATATATATCATCGGTTAATAACATATCAGCAATGAATCCAAAGATGAATCAAAACCTAGCAGACTTGTGGAAACTTTGGGATACTCACTTGAAGTATGAATTGTCGAAAATAAGAGGGTTTGAAGTCCAGGCACCTTCGAAGCCAGACCTATCCTTGTGGCATCTCCCCTGTGTTACCCAAATTTGCAAGCATTCATCACACTTTGACGATTGGAACCAACAAAGAAAGTGTTTAAGCAGTAGTTGGGAGTGAAACGAACCAGAGTGTGGGCACCAGATAAAGCGACAATGTCCTTGTCAGTTAAACCCATCTGCTTTGCAAAGACGTCTCTTAAGTGGTCACAACCCTTTGTAGCATCAGGAAGACGACCCTCTGGAGGTGGCTCGGGCTTGTCCTGAAACAAGATATGGATATTAGTAAAACGCAATCAAGTCTCATAGTGTTCCCTTCTTCAATTTTGATATTACAAATAGGCTAGGAGAATGGCTACACTCTCATTTAATCAGCATAACACGTTTTCTCGATCATTTGCGCATATGATGATACAAATCTATCTAAAACAATGACTAACCTCTCTTCCTGGGTGGAAAGGAATTTCAGGTCCACCAGTGACTTCAACGGCCACAACACCAGCAAGCTGAATGATCAATTTCATGTCAAAGGACATCGTGAGTTAGAATCCAAGCAACACTGGAGTTATCACCACTAACCAAAGAGGTTATCTCTTTAAAACATGTACCTGATGGAAATCAGCAAAAGAGATGGTAGGGAATTGCTCCCGTATGGGCTCCAAAAACCTGAGAGCAACGTGGATACCACTGTTGGCTCCATGAGCTTGCTCAGCATCAAACCTCATTGTTCCGAAGGGACCTCCAGTCCTTGAGGCGCAATCGAATGTTCCAGCAGAGTGCCATCTGCAGTGAGCCAAACAGATAAGCCATGAGAAAGTGCACATCATATTTACTTCAGAAACCGCAAGCTGATAAGGTCAGTGACTTACGCGAGGCGGACCATGATGGGTGCACAGTTCTTCTCAGCGATCATGCCTCTAAGCTTCCTCCTGCACTTCTCAATAGCCTTTAGGTAATCTTCGCTCACAGTTGGGTAGTTCTTCGTCATCTTCGCTAAAATCTGGGAACCAATGCACAATATTTGAGCCACACAATAGCAAATTTACGCACAGATCAAATCCAAAAACAGACGCAATTCTAACGTACGTATGTGTAAACAAGCTGAGAATCATAAACAACAATAGCCTTTGAAAACAGCTTCATACGAGTGCAAAACCAAAATCAATCACAAGTGAAACGGAAATGAGAGCAAAATCCGCGACTAGAAAAACAGATCCTGGGAAGAAAAAATCACAAGTAGAAGCTACACTCATAAACTAGCAAACAATACAATAAAAAACAAAAACACCACACGAATGAGCTGAAGAAGCCTAATCCGTCAAAGCCATCATCGATTCGGAAATTTAGTCGAGAAACACAGCGAGATCGAACCACAAAACAGAAATGTGAGGATTAAAAGGACGGATCGAGGATCTACTATGATAAACACATCATTCAAATCAAGCCAGGCATAACTATGATCCGATCCATTAAAATAAAAATCGAAGCAGAAACGACGGATCGAAGGCAGAGAGAGAGTTCATGTTTTACCTTTTTGCAGAGAAAGGATAAAATCTGAGAAATGCGAGTGGCTGGCACGAGGTGAACACGAGTACTTTATGAGAGAGCGTCAAGTCGAGAAAGTCGAATTATATATAGGTGGGCTGTTCCGATGGGGAGAGGAAGAGAACGTTCTAGTAGATCTTTTGGATGCCGTTAGATGACGGATATCGTGTGGTCAATATATCATAATATAATCGACGGTAATGATTCAACGCACGGCTTTAAAATGGACGTTCGGATATCAGGGTTGGTGGTTCAGAGATGGGAAAAGAATAATCCTCAAAATAATTAGCATATAATTGTCAAAGTTCTATTGGAGGAAACATGCTTCGTGTGGCGGGCCCACCAGCATGGCAAAAATATCAAAAAGGCGTCGATTTTGATTTGTTTTTGTGAAAAGACGAAATAAACACCGGAGGATGGATATGGCGAACACGTTCGGTAGTGGTATTTACGTTATTTCCCTCGTCCCAGGTGTGAACGCGTCTCACGCACATGTAGATTCCATTTGACAAAAGAAACGATAAAGTCACAGCAGACGAATAATTAGACAACCGAACTATGGTTCAATTTCGGTCCGTAGGTACTTAATTGCGGTTTAGCTTCTATTTTTTTTGGGCAAACAATTGCGATTTAGGTTGGGTTTAAAAATTTGGAGCCCAATACGATTTTGGCTTGATTCTGCAGTCTAAAGAAGAGTCTGTTTAATGGGGTAGATTGGCAATTATTAAAAAAAAAAAAAAATTGTGATTGGTTCTTTAGAAGTGTGAAGTTAAATTGCTTGAAGCACACAAGAGAGCTATGGCATTGAGGATTGGGGATATGACATTGAGGCTTGGGGATATTAGAAGGTAACTTAGTTTCACATCATTTTCAATAGGGATTTGAGAATAATTGTATGTTTACCGTTTTGATTTTTAATATTGGGTTTTCATGTGAATTCTAAGTAAATGTGAAAATAGATGACCTTGGGAGAATGGGAGGGACCCATTGGAGGGAGCTTTTTCATACTGCACTTCCCTTTTATTCCTTTTGAATTTTTACTTAGTGGTGCATAAGTCTGCTTAACCTTTGAACGATAACTTTCATTCAAATTTCAAAGTTCAAAGATCAAATAAAAAGGTTTTGTCTTTATTTGGCCCACCAAAAGCAAAAGGTGCCACCATTTTCTCTCCTCTCACTCCGGCTTTGCCTTTTTGAAATGCAACACAGCCAATAGCTACTTGAGAGATGAAACAGTCATAAAACTTGTTTCTCTTTGGTGTTATCTTAACACTTGTCTTGATCCGAGTTCTTGCAAAGAAGAGATGGAGAAGATGGAAGATGGAGGAATCTTGACATATAATGGTAGATATGTTATGTATAACGTACTCGGTAACATTTTCGAGCTGTCTTCAAAATACATTCCTCCTATTCAACCCGTTGGTCGAGGTGCCTATGGTATTGTCTGGTGAGTCTTTATCAAACAAAAAGAATTTTCATTCTTTTTAAATCAATGTTTTTCTTCATTCCTTATTTTGTTTCTGATTGCAGTTGTGCCACAAACTCAGAGACAAACGAAGAAGTTGCTATAAAGAAGATAGCAAACGCGTTTGACAACAGAATTGATGCTAAAAGAACTCTACGAGAGATCAAACTCCTTTGCCACATGGATCACGATAATGTAATCTCTTTGTGACTGATCCCATTTCGCTTATCAAATCACATACATAGCTACATATCGTGTTCTCATTGGTACACAGGTAATCAAAATGAAAGATATAATCGAGCCACCAGAGAAGGAGAGGTTCGAGGATGTGTATATTGTTTATGAATTGCTGGATACTGATTTGCACCAGATCATAAAATCCACTCAAATCCTAACCGAAGACCATTGTCAGGTTGGTATTCCCAAAATCTCTTTCAAATCTCAAATCCAAGGGGACACTTCCATAATCAGAGTCATAGTTTGGTATACAAATATTGTTACCGTTTGGTTTGAAAATGAAGTTTGTTTTCGGTTTAGTTTTGAAAAAGTTTGGTACGATTTGTTTAACGTTTTGAGCAGATTCAGTTGCATAATGATTAGCATTTAACATTGTTTGATATATTTTCATATCAGTACTTCCTTTACCAAATTTTGAGAGGCCTGAAGTACATACACTCTGCAAATGTGCTTCACCGCGACCTGAAGCCTAGCAACTTGGTTCTAAATTCAAATTGTGATCTTAAAATCTGTGATTTCGGGCTTGCAAGAACATCAACGGAGACAGACATAATGACGGAATATGTTGTGACAAGATGGTACCGTGCACCCGAATTGCTTCTCAACTGCTCCGAGTACACTGGAGCTATTGATATTTGGTCTGTTGGTTGCATTTTCATGGAGATACTCAGAAGAGAAACGCTTTTCCCCGGAAAAGATTATGTTCAACAGCTGAAACTTATCACTGAGGTATACACTTGAACAGACCCGAATCCAACTCTAATCATTTGTGTGTGTGTGTGTGTTAAAAGCGTTTCTCTGTTTTGTTTATTTTTAGCTATTAGGTTCACCAGATGACTCTGATCTTGACTTCTTGAGAAGCGACAACGCGCGGAAGTACGTAAAACAACTCCCACATATTCAAAAACAATCATTCAGAGAAAAATTCCCAAACATTCCTCCAATGGCTTTAGATCTTGCTGAAAAGATGCTTGTTTTCGATCCTTCCAAACGCATCACAGGTTGCATCCCGTTGTTTTTATTTATGTTTGGATGCTTTAAATACATAGAATCAGTAAGTAAAATTTGAAATACTAACAAGATGTTTTATTTGATTTATTTGGAAGTGGAGGAGGCATTGAAGCAGCCGTACTTGGCAAGTCTTCATGAGATCAATGAAGAACCGACGTGTCCTTCTCCTTTCAGCTTCGACTTTGAGGAGACAACCTTGGATGAACAAGACATCAAAGAACTTGTCTGGAGAGAGTCTTTACACTTCAAAAATAAGTAATCTCCCAAATTCTCACTCTCCCCCTTCCCCCACAGTTTAAGACACTTGGAAGCTAGACAATGTTATTGTAAATTGTGGGAATATATATAAGCCAGTATTCTAGTGTGTGTGCGTTTTGTTTGATAATGTGTGTCAGTGTGTGCAATCCGAAGAATGTTACAAGTTTTTATATGTAAGATACATGTAATAACACGATAAAAACATGGATTCTAAAATTTGGACGAGATGGATACAAGTAGAACACTTGCCACCTTTATATTTTAGAAAGTTAAAGTAATTGAATGATTTTCTAAAATTTGCCCCTTTCAAATTTTGTTTTTTGGCCCCCAATCTTTATTGTTGTTTGCTCTTTATTTTTTAAGAAACCTTAACTCCAAAATCCAAATTAATTTCTTAACATTTTTTTTTTATTTCTGGGAAATATGCCAGTTTTTACTAGAGTCATGAGATTGAGTTATAAATTATGTATAACCTCAAGGTATACAATCTACTCTTTCATCATAATTAACAAATTTCCTCCTTCCTTACAGATGATGTTTTGGATAAAAAGACTGTCTGGTTTTTAAGATCTTTTATATGTATTGTTTATAGATAAATCTCTTAATCTATACCATGATCTCTCCTTACAAATCAAGACACTTGAAATATTATGCTAAGTTGTGGGGAATAGTGAACATTTCTCCAAAAAAAAAAAGAAGCGAACATCATATCTCGTATTCTAGTGTGTGTTTTTTGATTATGGTTGTGCAGTCCGAAGAAAGTGCCCACCCCCAACCAAATCCTAAAGCTATTGCAGATAACTTCATACCAACCACTCTATACAAGATCAAGCTAAATCGACCATACTCAGCCTAATCGATCTAATTTCACCAAATTCCTAAAAAAAGGCCCAAATCAATTAGGAAGGTGCAAAACTCAAAATAATGAACACTTATAGAACTTGAGGTGAATACCTTCTCTTCAGCGTGTCATTTAGAAACATAGAAGATACCACCACAATTTTTTTTAAAAAAAGGCACATCTCCTTCCTTCTTTTTCTAGTCATTTTTTATAATTTCACGTTCTTTCTTTGTTGTTTGGCCCAATTTCATTTGATATAATTTAAAAGCGTTGTTCCTGTTTCACCACTTATGTTTGTACTATTTTCTATCATATAAGTAATTTATACAATTAAGGATTACTATATGGTTTAGCAGACCTTCTTGTTCATGCAACTAGTTGGATTTTTTAAAATATAATATTATCCAAATCCATGCCTAAAAGTAATATTCTAGCTGTGCATACTGTTGGTGATTTGGTATATATAAATATAGAAATTGAAATTGGACCACGCAAGTCTACATCATTCAAAACATCTCTAAAGGAAAACCGTACTGCTACAAAAGCCAAACACGTCTTTATGAATGCTGGTTCCATTCCAAATAATTAATATGTAATATCTCTGCAGAACCATACATTTTTTTATTATTATATAGATTATGCTCATTCCTTAATTAAATAATTCGAGCTGTCAAAATAAATTCAAATATTAAAACTTATCTTCACTCTAATGTTGGTTAAATATCTGAGATATTTATACGATTCAATTTTTAATATTATGGGAGTTGACTATAATTTTGTATGCTGGACCAACGCAATTACAATTCGAGAAACTGATTAATAGATGTCATTATATTTTAACTTCACACACATTTTTTATATGGTTGATAAGTTGATGTGATAAGTGATAACAACATAAAACGTATCAAATTAGATATTGTTAAAATATAATGATTTTGGTTAATCAGTCTTCTGAAATGAATCAAAGAGATGAGTTAAAAGTAAGTATTTGAAATTGACCGGCTCCTTATAGGTATAGGAGTAAAACAATTGTAAATGTTTCTTTAAAAACAAGTAATACGGTAGAAGATTGGGCATCGTGGGCTTGGAAAGTAAACCAAAAATAGAATGTCATTGTTAAGCAATTACAGTTTTTGATTAGTAGAAAATAACACCAAAACGTTGATCAATGCCTAATTAACGTTCGGCAGATGTGGGTGAAAATGTGGAGAAGCCCTACTAACACCAAAATTGTATACAGTCGAGTCGTCCACGAACAGAATGTTTTTTTTCTAGCAAAGATATAAAAAGTTAAGAAAACAAAAATCAACAAAATGTTTGCCAGCAAAAGACTAGTCTGTCTTTTAAAGTCTTAAGGCCTGAAAGTCAACGTTTTTAAACATAGTTTACCGGGGGAGTTGTTGACTTGTTGTAGCCTATACTAAAGCCTTTGTAGGTAAAAGAAATTAAACGGGATTCATATGCTGGGAAGAAGACTGAGCTCGTGTAACACGTGGCGCCGTTCCCTTTGATTTTGGCTTTTAATGGTTCCTCGTAACAGAGAGCCACCAGCTGGAACGCGTCGCAGTTAAATCACACTGTTGGAACCATAAAACAAAAAAAGCTCGCTTGTTAATTATTTTTTTTTAAGAAAGAAAAAAAAAACATTCGACAACAAAAGCGCGTGGAGTTAAAACGTAGGACCCACGATGACGTCCTTTTGTTTCTCTACCTTTTTAAAGATGAAATCAGACGGTGAGTAATTGGCCGTCGTCTATATACCAACGTCATCCGTAAGGCGATAGCCAATAGGTGACAGCTACAAAAATGTTTCTATCATCTTTCAATTAACACTCAATCTTTTTCTTTATATCTATATAAAAAAGTTATAACCAAATATGTTGAAAAACAAAACAAACCTACGATGTATGTCTCCAATGTTACACATTCTCTACGAACTTCCATATTTTTTTTATGATCGGGCCGGCAACAAAAGTCTTATGTTACTTCGTTATAAACTTCTAGAATTATACACGATATTGGCCAACACGCAGTCTTTATAACCAATTTACATAATTCCATATAATAGCTATAAAACTTTGAGTAAAACGGACCACCATTCAGCCGCATTATGAAAGTCAAAGCATCCAGATATTATACTATCTTATTAAAACACACAATTCCAACATTTGTTGGCTTTATTTATTGATCGCTAGTTCAAAAAATCTAGCTTTTATGGTATGGTTTACCGAGTGAATTACATAAATTCGGATAAGAAGTTCTATCACTCATCTTTGACAAAAAAAAAAAAAGAAGTTCTATCACATATACCTCAAGAATATTTGAATAAAAAATATAAATAACTTAGTGATAGAAAAACACAAGTATATAGTAGGATAAACGATAATAGGATTATTTTGTTCAATATGATAACTAAAATGATTATTACACAAGTTATTAGTGATTTCATTTGAAAAAAGTAAAAGTTTATTTCACTCTGATTTGATACAGACATATAGTTTATATAAATTTTAAATACTAATTTGAGTTTGAGTGTTACTGGTAAAAATAACGATAATGGTGGTAAATTAATACTATATTGAAGAAGTGGTATGTCACTAGTATCACACGAGTTGGTCTCAGTATCAAAAATATTTAGCAAGAGGTGACATAATCAGGTTAATCACTCAAATCCATAGCTCCATTAATAAAACGCCACGTCAGATCAACGGTACCTGTTTCGAACCGCCTGTAGATGGACAAACAAATAGTTGACCAAGCTCAAGTATTTTGTGCATTACGTGGCGCCTCACAATACGTTCTCTTCAACAGTTGCCGTACGTTTCTAAGAAGAAGCATTTTTGATTAGACGCGTATTCTAAAATACCATGGACCTTGTCGTAGATGATTATAATTTTACGTTTCTCTCTTAACAAAACTTTTGATTACGCGATATAAAAAAAGGCAAAGCAATTAAGCTTTCTCTGTTTGTCACTAGCTCTTTCTTTCTCTCTCTCTTCTTCTTTTTCGCAATTCTTCTTTCTTCCCCCGACTTTCTTCTTTTTTGTTTCTCTTCTCTTGATTTTCCGTGTTGGGTTTAAAGGTTTCTGATTTGTCGACGAAGAAGAGACGAAGAGTGAGAGAACTGAGGAGTAATATAAGATTAAAGGAAGCATCGAATTGCTCTTTTCTTTTTCAATTTATCGATTTCCCGATGGGTTGTTTCGGAAAATCGAGCAAACGATCGGAGACCAACAAAGGGAAAAACAAGGATACTGTGAAAAATAGGAAAACTGTGTGTGGTACAAGCGTCGCTAAGAGCGATAAGCGAGATGATCAGACTCAACCCGGTTCAGGTATAGAGTGATTTCGGTTGTTGGAAATATCTTTCTCTCTCTCTTGCACAAGCTCTTTTGTATTTGTTCAACTATTCTTTTGTGTGGATCGATTTTCTTGTGAATCTGTATCAGTTACATTAGGAGACCCATTTCATGGAGAATTTTGTATGATTTTCCCAGAGAATTTCGATGCATGTGTACTGTTCACCATATCACTGATGTTGGGTTTTCAATCGAGTTAGGTCTTTGTGTTCTCGTGGAGGGGACAAATGTCAAAAAATGATTTTTTTTTTTCTTTCTTTTTCTTGCCTTTGGTATTCGAATCTTATATTGATTTGTATTCTTGCCGTATCTGTTTTGGGTTAAGTCACATGATAACTGGATAATCAATTCCATACTCTTTCCATGTGTTGTAGATTCGACAAAAGTCAGTCCATATCGAGATGTAAACAATGAAGGAGTTGGTAAGGAGGATCAGTTAGCTCTTGACGTCAAGGGTTTGAATTTAAATGACCAAGCCACAGGGAAGAAAGCACAGACTTTTACCTTTGAAGAACTTGCAGTTGCCACAGGAAACTTTAGATCGGATTGTTTTCTTGGTGAAGGAGGTTTTGGAAAAGTTTTCAAGGGAACTTTAGAGAAACTGGATCAGGTACTTTGCACTAGTGTGAAAAAAAATTCCATATCTTTCTTGATCAAGTGGCTGTGAATGATTGTCAGAGTTTTGAACAACATGGTGAAAATTCCTTCTGCTAGGTTGTTGCAATCAAGCAACTTGACCGTAATGGCGCTCAAGGAGTCAGGGAATTTGTGGTTGAGGTACTGACACTAAGTCTTGCTGATCATCCGAATCTCGTGAAGCTTATTGGATTTTGTGCCGAGGGTGATCAGAGACTATTGGTCTACGAGTACATGCCGCTAGGATCTCTTGAAGATCATCTACATGGTATGTTGTAAACTCAACTTTTTTGCTCTCATTTTCTCTTTCTGTATACAAATAGGGTCTTTTCCCTTATAAAACCAGAGGATCATGGTATGTCATAGACTCTCCATGAATTGAGAGGGTTTGATTGCTTGATTGGGTGAGACAGGATTAAACCGAGGAACTGGTCAATCCCTAGCCTGCAAAAGCCTATCCTTTGCCTCTGTATTGTTTGTCACTCAACTATCCCCTTTTCTCAAACTGCGTTCCTGCTTAGTCTATTATATGACTTTCATGTTGCTTTGACTGTTTTCAGACCTCCCTTCTGGTAAGAAACCACTTGATTGGAACACCCGGATGAAAATAGCGGCTGGTGCAGCAAGAGGTCTAGAGTATCTGCATGATAGAATGAAGCCCCCTGTGATCTACCGGGATCTTAAATGTTCGAATATCTTGCTCGGCGATGACTATCAACCAAAACTATCCGACTTTGGGTTGGCTAAAGTTGGACCAAGCGGGGATAAAACCCATGTCTCCACAAGGGTTATGGGAACGTACGGATACTGTGCTCCCGACTATGCTATGACGGGCCAGCTCACATTTAAATCGGATATATACAGTTTTGGAGTAGTCCTTTTGGAGCTTATCACTGGAAGGAAAGCAATTGATAGTGCAAAAGCGCGTAAAGATCAGAATTTGGTCGGATGGGTATGTTCTGTCTCTTGGCAGTCTCTCTCGAAGATCTTGGCAGAAGCTAATGGCTTCTTTTTTGTTTCCCGGCTTTTTGCAGGCACGACCATTGTTCAAAGACAGGAGGAACTTCCCGAAAATGGTTGACCCATTGCTTCAAGGACAATACCCGGTAAGAGGACTGTACCAAGCACTTGCAATTTCAGCAATGTGCGTTCAAGAGCAGCCAAGCATGAGGCCTGTTGTATCCGATGTAGTATTGGCTCTCAACTTCTTAGCCTCTTCTAAATATGATCCGAATAGCCCTAGCAGCAGCAGCAGGAGAAACACTTCTTTTCACAGAGACAGAGATGATGATGAGAAAAGACCGGACCTTGTCAAGGAAACCGACGAAGGTTCTTCATAGGAAGAGAATGATAAAAATCAAATACTAGTTTTGGCTTCAACAAGAAAATGGGGAAATATAAAATCAAATCAGTCACATTGTTAACATCTCTTTGTGGATGTACATCTTGACTCGGCTTCTGTTGTATGTAGAATGCTTCTTTTTCTGTAGAACAAAACCATTTTGTTTCGGGACATATATACATATGTTAATCAAAAACAAATATCTTTGTATATATATATTCCGATTAAACCATGATGATGGTGTTTATGGATGATGACAGTGTCAAAAGTCGTAAATATATCAAGAATTAGGGAGGAGTCTGTTCACATCACGTGATGCAAATTTTCCCGCGCAATTCCGTTAAATTATGCCGTTAAGTAACGAAACTGATCAGAGAAGGCTTCACAAATCTATTCTCTATCCTCTGTTCTCTCTCTCTCTCTCTCTCTCTCTCTCTCTCTCTCTCTCTCTCTCTCTCTCTCTCTCTCTCTCTCTCTCAGTCTCTCTTGGATTGTGCGACTCTGGGAAGAAAAGCTGCAAGATTAGACAACAACAATGACGGAAAGATCGTTCTCTCAGCTCCCGATCTCCTCTTCTCACGGTGGCAGATGGATGTTTTACTCTAAGAGAGGGATTTTTTCGGTCTCGGAGTGTGGGATACACACACTTCCAGAGGGTCATCTTCCTCTGCTTCTTCACTCTCTGGTTTTTCTCACACTCAGGTTAATTCACTCTTCCTTGTTCAACTCTCCGATTCCCTAAATCTTTTCACGACGAACGTGTGCGGATGCAGAGAATTTTCCCGAGAATATGGTCAGAGAGCGCTTGCTGAGTTCTGTATCGATGGGGGTCTTACAGTGAGCTTGCACATGAACGATGGGAGAGATATAGTCCGCACATCGCCGTTGAGAAATCCATGGCAGTGGAGAAACGAGTCTCATGTCAGCTGCGATTCTTGCTTCCTCTGCCGTTTCCCAGTCTCTGCCAATCAAAATCT